GACGCAGCGCGACCAACAGCCGTAGCTGTAGGCTTGGGTCGGAGACCCGAAGCCGACCCCTGGGAACAGGAGACCGACAGGTCCGCACTGGAGGCGGAAGTCCTTAAGGTCTGGCAAACCTTTATAGGACCGGCCAACAAGGCCCCTGAAGTAGCAGAACATTGGGGGGATTCCGCACTGCTATAACATCTCCTAGAGGAGAGACCAACCCCTATGGGTTCCATGAGTGAAGACCCATGGGGTAAAAACCCAAACCCCTGAGGGAATGGGAAAGGTCCAGCGGGCCGGGAGTGACCCCAGAACTGGCCAAGATGGCCTGCCTGAGTCTGGGGCTGGACACCCTGTCCAAAGGACCAGGATGAACCGCCACTCCCACCAGGTGGAAACCCAGACATGTACGGGCTAAGCCCGTAACTGCTGAGTAACTGTTGGTACCCAAAACCATCCGCAGGTTGGCCTGGGCGACCCAGGAATAAGTGCCTGCAGGCACCCCTACTCCCTGAGCCCGGGGGAAAGGGAGACCGGAAACCGGACTCCTGGCCTGAAGCCCCAAACCCTTGGGGGAAAACCCCCTGGGAAACCCTGCACTGGGAAATCTGGACTGGGACGGAAAGTCCCAGAGCCAGAAGCCTGTGAGGGTGGGAAAACAGACCCCGCGCTGACACCAGGATTAGTGAACTCAAGTGTCACTAATCCCCGTAGCCACAGACAATCCTGACAAAAAGTCTGTGGCCCCTGACCCTATACCCGAAGGCACAGTTCCGGAGTCAAAGCGGCCCCCACCAACGACGCCACCTGGCGCGCCGAGGTCCCTGAAGGAATCAGAGACCTCGACCGGAAGTCCCTTTCCGACGGTAACACCGCCGGCTATCGAGAGCTACCGGCCAATTCGACCCTTGACTGCGCCGAGTCAGGGTCGGGCTGCCCCCCCCCCCCCCTACTCCAGGACGCACCTGGACAGGGGGAGCCACCCCCTGCTGAAGGGCGGAGCTCAGTGGAACGAGAGCACCCCCAGCAGGAACGCTCTGGTTCAGAACCTGAGGAGGGAGGTCTTAAAAAGCTTACTTCCCTTACCGGAAGAAGAGGACGAATCCCTCTTCCGGCGGAAAGTTAGCTGGAAAGGCATGGGAGCCTAAGCAGCAGACTCCATGTGCAAACAAAGTTCACATAGCGAGGTCTGGCTGCAATGTCGGCAAATGGGACAGGTATCATGGGGTTCCCATTATCTATAGAAATAGGAACATCCATGCGCTGACCCCCGACGTAAACCCGGCACTATTATCCATCATCGAAACAATAAAAAATTGTAACAATGAAAACAAGGACAAAAAGTTTTCTAACAATCAAAAAACTACGAACGAGAGCATAAAACCTACCGTACGCAGCAAGATTGTACTGCAAAAAAAGAAAACGGTCGTACAAAACGGCCGACAAAGCAGCAAGAAAACAATTTCAACTTCACGAAAATCCGAGTGACGAGACAAGTAGTCACGCACTCGAACACGCGGAGGAAAAACACGGCCGGAAACGAAGTTCTCGAACAATCAAAAAACTACGAGCATAAAGCCTACCGTACGCAGCAAGATTGCACTGCATAAATAAAACGGTCGTACAAAACGGCCGACAAAGCAGCAAGAAAACAAATTCCAACTTCACGCAAATCCGAGCAACGAGACAAGTAGTCACGCACTCGAATACGTGGAGGAAAAAAAACGGCCGGAAATACGGTCAAAATAAACAAATGACAATACTTAATTTCACAATATAAGTTGGGAGATGGGTTTATAGACTACTAATAGAGTAACAATATACTCAAACGACAATGGCAGTACGAAGAGAAGGAGTAAGAAAAGCACTTAGCTCAGACACCTCCGCACTCGTCGGGTTGTCAATGGATATGAATAAGTTATGAAAAGTTGTTATAATCTGGACCAGTAGTTCATATGTTTGTATCTACATGTGATCCTTGTAATAAACGTGTTTAGTGTTGTGCATATATACATATATATATATATACCATTAATATAGAAGGCATTTTATCGACTTTTATCCATATCTGAAGGGTTGGACTACCTAAATATATGGTGAAATTATATACATAAACAGTGATTTCAACCAGATTAATTATTTTAATATATTAATATTCAATAACTGTATTTGTGAATGATAAAAGTACATTGAACTATAAATAAGAATGAAATATGATAAAATGATGCTGACAAATATATCGGTACACTCAAGTGAACAACACTATTTAATACAAATTTAACGGTTGGATACGGTAGAGCCAAACGATGAATTAATATTATACTCAATATCGAAGTTTGTGATATGATAAACGATATGAAGAATATAATTCAGAATAGTGCATTGAACCAATAAAATCTATAGGAATGTTTACAAATGTATGTCCCTGATATAGCCACAATGTTTTGTTTTTCTTTTCATCGCGTGTTATGGAATTTCTGTGCAACACGTGGTACATAAAATGACTATTGTACACGAGATTTCTTAAAGTTGTTTTGGTTTTGCTGAGTACGGTTAGAATTGGGTCTACAGAGATGTGGCACAACTAGTGTGTATCATTTAGGCCCTATATATGAATTCAGTGTCGTATGGTTACCCGCGTTTTGTGACATCATAGTACAGGTGAGAATGCAGGTGTATAATTAAACGATAAGAATTATACGTGTTTATACTAAATACAGACCTCTCACGTGCACGGAAACGTCTTAAAGAGTTCCCGACTTTAGTTCGGAAACGATCATAAATGTAGGTATGTTTACAAAAAATGAATTCCAGCCGGCTTTATATCAATGCAGATACACTATACCATCGTGAGGATTTCTCCGATAAGTTCATTTTTAGCTGGTAGGTGAAGCCCACCAGCTTATGATCGAGGCATCTCTTTGGGTTTATCTTTTGTAAATCTTGTCGCATGGGGAACAGATAGATTCCCACTGTTGTTAAGAGTTGAGAGGTTAGCTCTTGACTTTTAATTAACTTTTTTAAATCCATCTTTCTTAACATTATTCTATATATATATCTAAAAAATATATATAGATATAGGCCTCGTGTCTGGATTTGGTGATAGGGGCCATACCAAGGGGAATTCTGTCTGTAACAATTGTTCTGTGTATGCTTATTCTACATAAGGTTTACTGTCAGAATCTGCTGTGAGGGGTTCCAAAAGGATAAAATAATTTCTGTAACTTTCTTTATCTGTTACGTAACTTAAGACCATAAGATTACAAGTCACTCATTGTCACTGCATTGAAGGCTTAACTGAAAGAATCATGAAAAAATATTTAAAACTAAATTAAAATATGATTAATCAATCAATATCACCTGTATCACATATTGATTGATATTGACGACCTGCCTGGGATGTGACCTTTACTGACCTATATATTGACATTTTGTATCATATCTTTATATTGTAAAATGATAAACAGTTGAAAAGTAAATTAATTTTAGTGAATTATTTGACCTCTGATTTTTGAGATCAATGTCTTGACCATTGACATAACTTTACATTGTAATACGACATGGAAATTAAAAATAAAACATACGTATTGCTCTATATGGATGGTTATTTGAACTTTGACCTTTGTGACCTATGTATTGACCTCTGGCAAAGGATTTCCATTGTAGAATATGGACAACCAAAAAATCATATTTCGTTTAGGAGATATTTATAGAAATAAAGAGTTATCAGAAAAGGAGGGATTAAGTGACTGTAAGTATGTATTTCTTTATCTGGGAATGTATTGAAATTGTAAAATAATATGGAGTTGAGTAAACAACATTTCAAATATCACCATGTTATGTGTTTCGTTCTATGTATAGAGAAATAATTCCACGATAGGCCTCTTGAATGTGGCGGTATTTTGCTTGCTAATAGCCAACCAGCTATATGACCATTGGCCTCTTGTTACTGTGCATATATCGATATTTTGTCTGTACGATTTTAGTAAAAGTTGCGTATATTGAGAATTTGAAACAGGATAAACACATACCAAAATTTTTAAAAGTTAAATACACGTAGGAAACAAACTAGTGCACTAGAGTTCATTTTCCTGTACACTAAAGTGGACTAAGGCAGCCAGTTTTGGTTTGCTCCCAGCAATATTACACTTTGCTGTTAGATTCATCTCTGTACATCTTGCGTTGTGATTGTGGTAGATTTATCTCCCTTTACATTTTAAACCATGTTCTGGTTGAATTACCTCCCTTCATACTATAACATGCTCGTGGTGGAATTTATTTTTCTGGGTTTTGAGGTAGATTTATTTCCCTTAACATGCTATTCTTTACTTGTAGATTTTACTATTCATATTTTCCGAGTTTTTGTAATTTACTCTCTTTAGATGCTCTGTACTTGTAGAAGATTTGTCTCCCTTTACATATCATACTATGATTTTGGCAGGTCAACCACATTTTCGTATTATCCTTAGTCATGTACTTTGCCGTTCGGAACACCTCGCCTCGATTGCAGTACCTTCCATCGGGGATGACATGAAATCGGTCGAGTTGTTCCGATTGATTCTTTACTTGTGGAAGAATTACCTCCCTTTTATCCTCGGCTTGAGGTAGGATTTTAATCTACTGTCCTTATACTCTACCTGTAACAGGATTATCTCCCTTACAGTGTTGTTTTCTAAAGAACACTTCTGGTACACTTTTGTATAATGTGTTGTGCACTTGGTAGATTTTTTCCATGTGATGTGTAATTTATCCAATTCAATGTTTTGTTAGATCTTCGTACTCAAATAAACGATTTGGTGGATTAAACTTAAACAGATGCAGAATACTAGTACAATTTTCTGGTGGAATAGTTGTCAATCCAAAGTCACATTTTGTGACAATACCTTGCTTTATCAACCTATACATAATTTGTGCCCTATAGTGTGTCATTGTATTTATATAAAATTGTTCGTACAGAGCTGCAGTTTCTAATATTCTCTATTTCCCCTGGTGTCGTGTTATGTAAATCGTACCTTCACAACAGACTGGGTGGCACGATCAGACCAGAATGCATTCTTTCCGAAAATTGCAACACTACGGGGTTCGGACAGGAAGTTGTGGTTATGCAATCCGTTTCGGAATGTACTCTTCACAATGACACGGAATGAAGTCCCATCATAAGTGATTGTCTGCACTGACTCAGATCTGTAAAATTGTGACAATAGGAATTAATTCAATCGTGTAGTTTTTCTTATGAACCAATCGTGCAGTTAGTAATATAAGCGAATCGTGTGTTTAGTAACATAAACTAACCTTGTAGTAAGTGATTAAAGCCAGTCGTGTTCAGTAACATAAACTTACTTTGTAGTAAGTGATATAAGCAAGTTGTGTATTTAGTAACATAAACTAAATTTGTTGTAAGTGAAATAAGCCAGTCGTGTTTAGTAACATAAACTAACTTTGTAGTAAGTGATATAAGCCAATCGTGTTTAGTAACATAAACTTACTTTGTAGTAAGTGATATAAGCCAATCGTGTTTAGTAACATAAACTTACTTTGTAGTAAGTGAAATAAGCCAATCGTGTTTAGTAACATAAACTAACTTTGTAGTAAGTGATATAAGCCAGTCGTGTTTAGTAACATAAACTAACTTTGTAGTAAGTGAAATAAGCCAGTCGTGTTTAGTAACATAAACTAACTTTGTAGTAAGTGATATAAGCCAGTCGTGTTTAGTAACATAAACTAACTTTGTTGTAAGTGAAATAAGCCAGTCGTGTTTAGTAACATAAACTAACTTTGTAGTAAGTGAAATAAGCCAGTCGTGTTTATTAATATAAACTAACTTTGTAGTAAATGATACACGCCAGTCCTGTATTTAGCAACACGTGTTGTAAGTAATGTCAACGTGTAGTAATTAATATAAACTGATCTCTTACTTATTAATGTAAACCAGTAACGTGGTTGGTTATATAATCTTTGTAATATAAGTCTATCGTGTAGTTTGTAGCACAAACTAATCATGTAGTAAGTTATATCAATTTATCTCAATTGGCATATTCTAGTATACAGCTCCAACGTCACGCAACAAACATGACCATCTATATTGTTGTTGCCGTCTGGATAAGTGAATAAAGTCGAAAGATGTTTTTGCACATCAAGGAAGATTAGCGTTACTCCCAATCTGTACATACCAGCATAAATGGGGAACCCAGCATGATGTTTAATGTACAGGTGCGCGACACACTTAGAGGAGCTCGTACGTTTGAAATGTTAAGTTTCTACGAGACGTGATGAGGTCCGTACTCGTAAAATATCAGGTTCTACAACGAGGCATGATTTAGCCAATAATCGCAAAGTATCAAGTTCTAAAACGAGGCATGATTGAGCCAATAATCGCAAACTATCAGTTTCTACAACGAGGCATGATTGAGCCAATAATCGCAAAGTATCAAGTTCTAAAACGAGGCATGATTGAGTCAATAATCGCAAACTATCAGGTTCTACAACGAGGCATGATTGAGCCAATAATCGCAAGGTATCAAGTTCTTAAACGAGGCATGATTGAGCCAATAATCGCAAATTATCAGGTTCTACAACGAGGCATGATTGAGCTTATACTTGTAAAATATATGTCAAAATCCATTGGGTCAGCGATAAAACTTTCCAGGCGTAGTCTTAGGGGTGGGGAAGATGAGGTGATAACATTTTCCAGACGTAGTCTTGTGGATAGGGGAGATGAGGTGATATCACTTCCCGGGCGTAGACTTGGGGGTGGGGGAGATGAGGTGATAACACTTCCCGGGGGTAGTCTAGGGGGTGGGGGAGATGAGGTGATAACACTTTTCAGGCGTAGTCTGGGGAGAGACTAAGGTCCACTGGGTCAGTGATAACACTTTTCAGGTGTAGTCTTGGGGTGAGGGTGATGAGGTGATATCACTTTTCAGGCGTAGTCTGGGGAGAGACTAAGGTCCACTGGGTCAGTGATAACACTTTTCAGGTGTAGTCTTGGGGTGAGGGTGATGAGGTGATATCACTTCACGGGCGTCGTCTGGGAGAATCAATCTGTAGGTATGTTTACTTATATTTCATTTGTTGTTGTAAAGTGTCTGAGAATTTAGACAGTGCTACAAGCCTTCGACGTGAAAATCTTAAGAAGATTTGATGGAACCACTGCAGTGTTTACGGAACATTAAGCTGTGTTACCAGAGCAGCCTGTTAATGTCAGGTTATCCAGGCCACAGCAGGCAAACGTACACACCAATACCAGGTACAGACGAGCTGGTGATGTAGCGAACAATTGTAGGTGTTAAAGATAGTAGACGTTAATGTGACATACACAGCTGGCAACCCGAGGGATTTACAAGTTATTGGACAGAAACTTTGTTAAAGGGAGTCATTGGCAGAGATTAACATACAAATCTGTTAAATGTATTTGGCATCTAAAATGGTTATTTGGCACACCAAGGTGTTATTTAACAGATAAAAAGACAGTATTGAAAACAAAATTAGTCGTTTATCTTCAGTGACGTGTTCATAGCACATTCAGTTATACTGTACATTTGTTTAACGGTAAAATGGAATAAATCACTTCATTCTTGAAACCGGTATCCTGACGATAATATCAACTTCACGTGGGTTAATTAGGACGAAGACCGAAAACATTTTCTATCTATGCTTCATATTTAGACAATTTTCAGCATTAAAAATACATAGAAATATTAACAATAACAAATATGTGTCACTTTGTGGCTAATGTTTTGCTATCTTGACTCATGCTGTGCTCTTCATTTCCAAAATATAAGCCTCGCTTATAAAATGTTTTTCAAGACGCGGACACATCACCGCATTTGAAACCTGCTTATTGGAGGAGTGATATTGCCTAACACAAGAACCTTGTTAAAATACTGGCCGTGATATTAATTAATGCTAAAACCTTAAGGTGTTGGAACTAATGTAATGCAGCTTATAACATAGACTGTTTATTACACGCCACTAAACAAGGAACCTATTTTAGTAACAAAATCATTTAACTTCAGGAATTTATCCTCGTAAAATATTAACGAGTCATGACTGAGACAGGTTATGAATTAAAAATAATATTTTTCTGAGGACAACGGAAAATAGAAAGAAAGAAGATCGAGAAAATCGATGTTTTGATTAATAAAAGTTTACACGGGATTAAACTTACTTGGCATCTACCCAGTAGAGACGTTTGTTTGGATGATCGGTGCAGAGTCCGATAGAACGGCCCATATTTGGTAAGATCTCCTGGGTGATATTGAAGATGACGTCATGTTGACTCTTGTTTAGACTGTACCGCTCTACACTGGCGGAAGGTGAGTATAACGTGCCCACCCAGTCTATCCAAAAGAGGTACCTGTGAAAAGTGAACAGTTGATATATACAATAAGGGTTAATTGTATCTGTGGAAGATGAATAGGTAGTATTTACAAGCAAGGTATCTATGGAAGGTGAATGAGTAGTATATACAACCAAGGTATCTGTGGAAGGTGAATAGGTAGTATGAATGAGTAGTATATACAACCAAGGTATCTGTGGAAGGTGAATGAGTAGTATATACAACCAAGGTATCTGTGGAAGTTGAATAATTTACACACCCTGAACGACACAATTACCTGTAAACTAATTTTCACCGTAAACGTCACAATATATTGTACACTACACTAATTGTACATGATGTACTCTCTAAACGTCACAATATACTGTACACTTATTGTACATGAAGTACTCTCTAAACATCACAATATACTGTACACTAATTGTACATGACGTACTTTCTAAACGTCACAATATACTGTACACTAATTGTACATGACGTACTTTCTAAACGTCACAATATACTGTACACTTATTGTACATGAAGTACTCTCTAAACATCACAATATACTGTACACTAATTGTACATGACGTACTTTCTAAACGTCACAATATACTGTACACTAATTGTACATGACGTACTTTCTAAACGTCACAATATACTGTACACTTATTGTACATGACGTACTCTCTAAACGTCACAATATACTGTACACTTATTGTACATGACGTACTCTCTAAACGTCACAATATACTGTACACTAATTGTACATGAAGTACTCTCTAAACGTCACAATATACTGTACACTAATTGCACACGACGTACTTTCTAAACGTCACAATATACTGTACACTAATTGTACATGACGTCTAAACACAATATACTGTACACTTATTGTACATGAGGTACTCTCTAAACGTCATAATATGCTGTGCATTTATTGTACATGAGGTACTCTCTAAACGTCACAATATAATGTACACTTATTGTACATGACGTACTCTCTAAACGTCATAATATGCTGTGCATTTATTGTACATGAGGTACTCTCTAAACGTCACAATATACTGTACACTTATTGTACATGACGTACTCTCTAAACGTCACAATATACTGTACACTTATTGTAAATGACGTACTCTCTAAACGTCATAATATAGTGTACACCTATTGTACATGACGTACTTTCTAAACGTCACAATATACTGTACACTTATTGTACATGACGTACACTCTAAACGTCACAATATACTGTACACTTATTGTACATGACGTACTCTCTAAACGTCATAATATGCTGTGCATTTATTGTACATGAGGTACTCTCTAAACGTCACAATATACTGTACACTTATTGTACATGACGTACACTCTAAACGTCACAATATACTGTACACTTATTGTACATGACGTACTCTCTAAACGTCATAATATACTGTCCAATTATTGTACATGAGGTACTCTCTAAACGTCACAATATACTGTACACTTATTGTACATGACGTACTCTCTAAACGTCATAATATGCTGTGCATTTATTGTACATGAGGTACTCTCTAAACGTCACAATATAATGTACACTTATTGTACATGACGTGCACTCTAAACGTCACAATATACTGTACACTTATTGTATATGAAGTACTCTCTAAACGTCACAATATACTGTACACTTACTGTACATGACGTACTCTTTAAACGTCACAATATACTGTACACTAATTGTACATGAGATACTTTCTAAACGTCACAATATACTGTACACTAATTGTATATATATATATATATATAGAGAGAGAGAGAGAGAGAGAGAGAGATTTATAATATATATATAGAGAGAGAGAGAGAGAGAGAGAGAGAGAGAGAGAGAGAGAGAGAGAGAGAGAGAGAGAGAGAGAGAGAGAGAGAGAGAGAGCGATATTTATAGACTACAAACACAATATCACTAGACATTTTACCCTTCAATGGGGTCGATGACAAGAGACTTTGGGTTATCAAGGTTTTCATCCAATAAGGTGGTGGGATTCTTTCCGTCAAGGGTGGCCACTCTAATTTGTGAAGGATACGTCTCCATCCAAAACAAGAGTTCTGTGATCCAGTCCACAGCAATGCTGTCAATAGTGGCCGACACAGCGTCAACTACCAAATGGACGTCAGTTAGAACTGAAAAGGATCAATTACACATGTTGCTTGCACAGAGGACACACAAGTAAATAGCACATTTCAATATAGCATTAGATAAAATGGAGGCAAATAATGCAATAAGATACATCGTAGAGATGTTTGCGTCCCTTTAGGAGTCGCCATTGATATTAAGAGCCTAAATGTAAATGTTGAAACCTAGGTGGCGGGTGAGGAAATTCAAAACTGACCGAAAAAATGTCAAAATCATGATGGAGAGGTGGACTAGCCCCATAATTCAACCATTTACGTAATTTTCATATATCTGATAATTTCTGACAACACTCGAACGAGTTAAACCTCGGAGACTAAAAGTCCACTAGTAGTGTCTACCACACTCTACCACCTGTAATAAAGATTGCGCGAAAAATATACTTAAGTGCGCACGTTTGATTTGATACAACATAGACAACTATAGATAAAACTGCATAATGCAACAGTTTCGACCTTCTAGAATTCGGCAGTGATGTTCCATCATACAGTAAATTCATACTTCTAGGACTCGTCACTGATGCTGTATCATACAGCTGTTTTGTCCTTTTAGGACTCGTCAGTGACGCTACATAATACATCTGTTTCGTCCTCCTAGGACTCGTCATGATGCTACATCATACAACTATTGCGTCCTCCTAGGACTCGTCATGATGCTACATCATACAGCTGTTTCGTCCTTCTAGGACTCGTCAGTGATGTTACATCATACATCTGTTTCGTCCTTCTAAGACTCGGCAATTATGCTACATCATACAACTATTTCGTCCTTTTAGGACTTGTCAGTGATGCTTCATCATACCGCAGATTCGTCCTTTTAGGACTCGTCAGTGATGCTATATCATACAACTGCTTCATCCTTCTAGGACTCGCCAGTGATGCTATATCATACAGCTGTTTAGTCCTACTATAACTCGACAGTGATGTTACAGCAGGTTCGTCCCTCGAGCACTCTTCAGTAATGCATAATACCTAAAGCTTTTGCCAAGCGCTTAATGTTGAAACTGGGAGACGACTTAGGGAAGTCAACATCTACTAGCCCCAAAATATCAGTCATTGTCTATAACGTTCATAGATTTGTTGGTATTAACACTAAGTTCAAGTGTATATTTTGAACCGTGTCCCTATTCAAATGCATTAAAACTGATGACACATGGTACATTCCAACATGTCGCTGTCCATGAACAACAAATGTTATACATTTTACACCAGAACGGAATCTTCACTGGCTAAACCACGTGGTTTATATATTATGTACCCGTGGATGAGAAAGGGTGAATAATGAAAATATGAAAGACATGTCTTGCTCTGCAGAATACATATCTTGTTCTACAGAATACATGTCTTGCTCTGCAGAATACATGTCTTGTTCTACAGAATACATGTCTTGTTCTGCAGAATACGTGCCTTGTTCTACGGAATACATGTCTTGCTCTGCAGAATACTTGTCTTGTTCTACAGAATATGTGTTTTGTTCTACGGAATACGTGTCTTGTTCTACGGAATACGTGCCTTGTTCTACAGAATACATGTTTTGTTCTACGGAATACGTGTATTGTTCTACAGAATACATGGTTTGTTCTACAGAATAATGTTTTCTTCTACAGAAAACATGTCTTGTTCCACGGAAAACGTGCCTTTTTCTTCAGAATACATGTCTTGCTCTGCAGAATACGTGCCTTGTTCTACAGAATACGTGTCTTGTTCTACAGAATACGTGCCTTGTTCTACAGAATACGTGTCTTGTTCTACAGAATACATGTTTTGTTCTACAGAATTCGTGTCTTGCATTATAGCTGCAGAATTAGGCGCTCAAAACTGTATTAGGAATTTCCATCTAAAGAAGGGATGTTTTGCTTTACAGAATCATTCTGTTTATTCTACGGAAATAGGAAATTTGTCCTGACACAAAGGGTGGGCACATTCCGCTAGCGAAAGTTTCTGAAAAGTTGAGCACTTTCCCCAAGTGAAAGTTTCCGAAAGGGTGAGCACTTTCCCAAAGTGAAAGTTTCTGAAAAGGTGGGCACTTTCCCCAAGTGAAAGTTTCTGAGGTGAGCACTTTCCCCAAGTGAAAGTTTCCGAAAGGGTGGGCACTTTCCCCAAGCGAAAGTTTCCGAAAGGGTGGGCACTTTCCCCAAGTGAAAGTTTCTGAGGTGAGCACTTTCCCCAAGTGAAAGTTTCCGAAAGGGTGGGCACTTTCCCAAAGCGAAAGTTTCTGAAAAGGTGGACACTTTCCCCAAGTGAAAGTTTCCGAAAGGGTGGGGACTTTCCCAAAGCGAATGTTTCTAAAAGGGTGGGCACTTTCCCAAAGCGAATGTTTCTAAAAGGGTGGGCACTTTCCCAAAGCGAATGTTTCTAAAAGGGTGGGCACTTTCCCCAAGCAAAAGTTTCTTAACGTTTCTGAAGGCCGAACATATTCGCTTTGTGAAAGATTTCCCGTATCGAGTATAATTTTAACATTATAACATTTTTCTTTCTAACACTGTTTTATAGCTGTCTTTACGTTTTTATGTTATAATATTGATGAACTGATGTACCGTCTAATGAGAGCGAGCCCCTGTACATTCTGCTGTCTCCGTGACTTGCCCAATAGATCCACTTCTTACTGTAATGGAAGTCGATTGCAGCTCCTTGGTCAAGGCCTGAATAAAGAGTGATGAGGTCCCCGGTCGACACGTCATATAAAAGTAATTTATGAAGGGAGGACAATAGGATAAACACAGGAACCTCAGTGTCTGGAAAAAACAATAAAACTAAATAGACTACATCATAAGGATAGCCTGTATTTAATAGTTAACACAGATCAGGGTAGTCTGTATATAATAGTTAACACAGATCAGGATAGTCTGTATATAATAGTTAACACAGATCAGGATAGTCTGTATATAATAGTTAACACAGATCAGGATAGTCTGTATATAATAGTTAACACAGATCAGGATAGTCTGTATATAATAGTTAACACAGACCAGGATAGTCTGTATATAATAGTTAACACAGATCAGGATAATCTGTATATAATAGTTAACACAGATCAGGATAGTCTGTATACAATAGTTAACACAGATCAGGATAGTCTGTACATAATAGTTAACACAGATCAGGATAGTCTGTACATAATAGTTAACACAGATCAGGATAGTCTGTATATAATAGTTAACACAGATCAGGATAGTCTGTATATAATAGTTAACAAAGACCAGGATAGTCTGTATATAATAGTTAACACAGATCAGGATAGTCTGTATATAATAGTTAACACAGATCAGGATAGTCTGTATATAATAGTTAATACAGATCAGGATAGTCTGTATATAATAGTTAACACAGATCAGGATAATCTGTATATAATAGTTAACACAGATCAGGATAGTCTGTATATAATAGTTAACACAGATCAAGATAGTCTGTATAAAATAGTTAACACAGATCAGGATAGTCTGTATATAATAGTTAACACAGATCAAGATAGTCTGTATAAAATAGTTAACACAGATCAGGATAGTCTGTATATAATAGTTAACACAGATCAGGATAGTCTGTATATAATAGTTAACACAGATCAGGATAGTCTGTATATAATAGTTAACACAGATCAGGATAGTCTGTATATAATAGTTAACACAGATCAGGATAGTCTGTATATAATAGTTAACACAGATCAGGATAGTCTGTATATAATAGTCAACACAGATCAGGATAGTCTGTATATAATAGTTAACACAGATCAGGATAGTCTGTATATAATAGTTAACACAGATCAGGATAGTCTGTTTATAATAGTTAACACAGATCAGGATAGTCTGTATAAAATAGTTAACACAGACCAGGATAGTCTGTATATAATAGTTAACACAGATCAGGATAGTCTGTATATAATAGTTAACACAGATCAGGATAGTCTGTATATAATAGTTAACACAGATCAGGATAGTCTGTATATAATAGTTAACACAGATCAGGATAGTCTGTATATAATAGTTAACACAGATCAGGATAGTCTGTATATAATAGTTAGTTAACACAGATCAGGATAGTCTGTACATAATAGTTAACACAGACCAGGATAGTCTGTATATAATAGTTAGTTAACACAGATCAGGATAGTCTGTATATAATAGTTAGTTAACACAGATCAGGATAGTCTGTACATAATAGTTAACACAGACCAGGATAGTCTGTATATAATAGTTAACACAGACCAGGATAGTCTGTATATAATAGTTAACACAGATCAGGATAGTCTGTATATAATAGTTAACACAGATCAGGATAGTCTGTATATAATAGTTAACACAGATCAGGATAGTCTGTATATAATAGTTAGTTAACACAGACCAGGATAGTCTGTATATAATAGTTAACACAGATCAGGATAGTCTGTATATAATAGTTAACACAGATCAGGATAGTCTGTATATAATAGTTAACACAGATCAGGATAGTCTGTATATAATAGTTAGTTAACACAGATCAGGATAGTCTGTATATAATAGTTAACACAGATCAGGATAGTCTGTATATAATAGTTAACACAGATCAGGATAGTCTGTATATAATAGTTAACACAGATCAGGATAGTCTGTATATAATAGTTAACACAGATCAGGATAGTCTGTATATGATAGTTAACACAGATCAGGATAGTCTGTATATAATAGTTAACACAGATCAGGATAGTCTGTATATAATAGTTAACACAGATCAGGATAGTCTGTACATAATAGTTAATACAGATCAGGATAGTCTGTATATAATAGTTAGTTAACACAGATCAGGGTAGTCTGTACATAATAGTTAACACAGATCAGGATAGTCTGTATATAATAGTTAACACAGATCAGGATAGTCTGTATATAATAGTTAGTTAACACAGATCAGGATAGTCTGTATATAATAGTTAACACATATCAGGATAGTCTGTATATAATAGTTAACACAGATCAGGATAGTCTGTATATAATAGTTAACACAGATCAGGATAGTCTGTATATAATAGTTAACACAGATCAGGATAGTCTGTATATAATAGTTAACACAGATCAGGATAGTCTGTATATAATAGTTAACACAGATCAGGATAGTCTGTATATAATAGTTAGTTAACACAGATCAGGATAGTCTGTATATAATAGTTAACACAGATCAGGATAGTCTGTATATAATAGTTAACACAGACCAGGATAGTCTGTATATAATAGTTAGTTAACACAGATCAGGATAGTGTGTATATAATAGTTAACACAGACCAGGATAGTCTGTATATAATAGTTCACACAGATCAGGATAGTCTGTATACAATAGTTAACACAGATCAGGATAGTCTGTTTATAATAGTTAACACAGATCAGGATAGTCTGTATATAATAGTTAGTTAACACAGATCAGGATAATCTGTTTATAATAGTTAACACAGATCAGGATAGCCTGTATATAATAGTTAACACAGATCAGGATAGTCTGTATATAATAGTTAACACAGATCAGGATAGTCTGTATATAATAGTTAGTTAACACAGATCAGGATAGTCTGTATATAATAGTTAACACAGATCAGGATAGTCTGTATATAATAGTTAACACAGATCAGGATAGTCTGTATATAATAGTTAACACAGATCAGGATAATCTGTATATAATAGTTAACACAGATCAGGATAGTCTGTATATAATAGTTAACACAGATCAGGATAGTCTGTATATAATAGTTAACACAGATCAGGATAGTCTGTATATAATAGTTAGTTAACACAGATCAGGGTAGTCTGTTTATAATAGTTAACACAGATCAGGATAGTCTGTATATAATAGTTAACACAGATCAGGATAGTCTGTACATAATAGTTAACACAGATCAGGGTAGTCTGTTTATAATAGTTAACACAGATCAGGATAGTCTGTATATAATAGTTAACACAGATCAGGATAGTCTGTATATAATAGTTCACACAGATCAGGATAGTCTGTATACAATAGTTAACACAGATCAGGATAGTCTGTATATAATAGTTCACACAGATCAAGATAGTCTGTATATAATAGTTAACACAGATCAAGATAGTCTGTATATAATAGTTAACACAGATCAGGATAATCTGTATATAATAGTTAACACAGATCAGGATAGTCTGTATATAATAGTTAACACAGATCAGGATAGTCTGTATATAATAGTTAACACAGATCAGGATAGTCTGTTTATAATAGTTAACACAGATCAGGATAGTCTGTATATAATAGTTAACACAGATCAGGATAGTCTGTATATAATAGTTAACACAGATCAGGATAGTCTGTATATAATAGTTAACACAGATCAGGATAGTCTGTATATAATAGTTAACACAGATCAGGATAGTCTGTATATAATAGTTAACACAGATCAGGATAATCTGTATATAATAGTTAACACAGATCAGGATAATCTGTATATAATAGTTCACACAGATCAGGATAGTCTGTATATAATAGTTAACACAGATCAGGATAGTCTGTATATAATAGTTAACACAGATCAGGATAGTCTGTATACAATAGTTAACACAGATCAGGATAGTCTGTATATAATAGTTAACACAGATCAGGATAGTCTGTATATAATAGTTAACACAGATCAGGATAGTCTGTATATAATAGTTAACACAGATCAAGATAGTCTGTATAAAATAGTTAACACAGATCAGGATAGTCTGTATATAATAGACAGAATGTAGATAGTCGTTAACCTATTACAGGTAACTTCGTTATATTTCTGTAAACAGAAGATAAAAATAATCATCATGTTTACATCAGCAATGTTTATGTATCTTATACCTAGTTCTATATTATGATGTAAAGAAAATCAAAACAGACACAAAACAAAATCTGTTACCTGTTGTTTCTTCGTTGCTGCCAGGTTTAAGGGTGATGTCAACTGGACGTGACATCATCTGTTTAGGTGTCGTGAACTGAGGATAGGATAAAGACCAGGCGGAAGTGCTGCCTTCTGAGGACATTTCACGTCTGAGGTGAGTTTCACCAACACATAATCCACTTGTAGGAAAATTCGTACAATTAAATCTCTCTGGCCATCTATATCCAAATTCATTCATAATAGACTCGCATCCAGCTTGAACTTCGTCACACAATTTTCTACACGGAGGCAAGGGAACCTGCATTACTGTACATACTGGGAGATAGAGGACACAAAGAAATGGTAGCAGGCTGGTACTACAGTCTATTTTCAACAGAGGACTGTACTGGCTGATAGCCATAATAGCATCATCCTGACTGTTGTCGTTTAAAATGTTAGGTAATATTGTGTAATTATAAGGCATAAATTCACACACAGAGGCTCGTAAAGGTTCGCATTCATGGTAAACATCTTGACACACCTTTAAAGTGACCAACGTGGACGTGATGATATATATGTGTCTTAAAACAGCCTTAACTCTCGCCATGGTTTGGAGATGAACGAGAGGTAACCTTATAAATCTCTGTTAGGTTTGTATGTGTGCGTCCATTAACTGTTAGCGCCGTTATAACCTGACGTGATATCCCCGGGAACCTGAAACAGGAAGTGAAAAAGTATGGAGACAGGGAAAGACAAGGTAACACTGTTTGTAATATATAGTAAGGAACATACGTTATTTTTTATCAGATATAACTGAATATCTGGCGAACTCAGCAAAGAACACTACAAACCACGTTTGTCGTTTTATTCATATCATAGTCTATGTATCACTTGGTTCTTTCCGGTGTCTGTTCATATCTCAGTCAAAATTCTAACAATCTTCCGAAATTCGTTAAAAAGTTGCTTTATTTTTAAAATCAGGCGTATATCTACATATGTGCACTGCTCATTGTGGGATAGTTCTTCAGGACTCGAAATATGTCGCATTATCAGTGTGGGGCGATTCAACTTGGCAAGAATTATGTGACATTATCAGTGTGGGGCGATTCTACAGAACACGAAATATGTGACATTATCAGTGTGGGGCGATTCTACAGGACACGAAATATGTGACATTATCAGTGTGGGGCGATTCTACAGGACACGAAATATGTGACATTATCAGTGTGGGGCGATTCTACATGACACGAAATATGTGACATTATCAGTGTGGGGCGATTCTACAGGACACGAAATATGTGACATTATCAGTGTGGGGCGATTCTACATGACACGAAATATGTGACATTATCAGTGTGGGGCGATTCTACAGGACACGAAATATGTGACATTATCAGTGCGGGGCGATTCTACAGGACACTGTTATATGTATACATGCTTTAATATGTCTGATAATGTTTGGTGGAAAGTAAATGAGGTATATAATATATATTGCCATGATATATAATATATCTACGGGCCGTCCTAGTGGTATATCTATAAACTAAATAATCTGAGGTCTAAGAAATCTGGTACACTCATTACCCAGTAAAAACCTTATGATGATTACAAATAACTCGGAAGATAAGTTTAGAGTTCCGGTCGAATGCGCCCGAACAACCTACCGGATTTATCGCCTCGCCGTCACTGCGGCTGAAACTTTGTAAATCGAAACTTTAAGCGATTACCATTTCTTGTCTGGAATTTTAGTTCTTGGACGCTCGAAGTAATGGAAAATTTGTTGGGTGTCCGCCGTTATTCAGCAAAGACAACATATCTATAATCGGATATGATATTCATAGAAAATATAAGTATGTAAAACTGGGAATTATTTCTGACATTTTTATCGTTTCAGTATGCATGAGAAGGCATATATAGGTGATATTCAATCTCCATATTTACAAGATAAATTATTTTCTACATAGCTACAACATAACCTCATCAATATCAACAACAAATATGTATCTTTTACACCGACAATAGCATACGATTGACCAAAGGCTGGTTATTGATATAAATATACAAAGGACATGTTACATACAGACAGGTGTGTCAGGTCTCTGTATCAATATATATAGGACATGTTACATACAGACAGGTGTGTCAGATCTCTGTATCAATTAATATAGGATATGTTACATACAGACAGGTGTGTCAGGTCTCTGTATCATACAGACAGGTGTGTCAGGTCTCTGTATCAATATATAGGACATGTTACATACAGACAGGTGTGTCAGGTCTCTGTATCAATATATATAGGACATGTTACCTACAGATAGGTTTGTCAGGTCTCTGTATCATACAGACAGGTGTGTCAGGTTTCTGTATCAATATATATAGGACATGTTACATACAGATAGGTTTGTCAGGTCTCTGTATCATACAGACAGGTGTGTCAGGTCTCTGTATCATACAGACAGGTGTGTCTGGTCTCTGTATCAATATATATGACATGTTACATACAGACAGGTGTGTCAGGTCTCTGTATCATACAGACAGGTGTGTCAGGCCTCTGTATCATACAGACAAGTGTGTCCGGTCTCTGTATCATACAGACAGATGTATCATGTCTCTATCAATATATATAGGACATATTACATACAGACAGGTGTGTCAGGTCTCTGTATCAATATATATAGGACATGTTACCTACAGATACGTTTGTCAGGTCTCTGTATCATACAGACAGGTGTGTCAGGTCTCTGTATCAATATATATAGGACATGTTACATACAGATAGGTTTGTCAGGTCTCTGTATCATACAGACAGGTGTGTCAGGTCTCTGTATCATACAGACAGGTGTGTCAGGTCTCTGTATCATACAGACAGGTGTGTCAGGTCTCTGTATCATACAGACAGGTGTGTCAGGTCTCTGTATCATACAGACAGGTGTGTCAGGTCTCTGTATCATACAGACAGGTGTGTCATGTCTCTGTATCATTATATATAGGACATGTTACATACAGACAGGTGTGTCAGGTCTCTGTATCAATATATAGGACATGTTACATACAGACAGGTGTGTCAGGTCTCTGTATCATACAGACAGGTGTGTCAGGTCTCTGTATCAATATATATAGGACATGTTACATACAGACAGGTGTGTCAGGTCTCTGTATCAATATATATAGGACATATTACATACAGACAGGTGTGTCAGGTCTCTGTATCATACAGACAGGTGTGTCATGTCTCTGTATCATTATATATATGTCTCTGTATCAATATATATAGGTGTGTACATACAGACAGGTGTGTCATTATATATCTGTTACATACAGACAGGTGTGTCAGGTCTCTGTATCAATATATATAGGACATGTTACATACAGACAGGTGTGTCAGGTCTCTGTATCAATATATATAGGACACGTTACATACAGACAGGTGTGTCAGGTCTCTGTATCAATATATAAAGGATATGTTACATACAGACAGGTGTGTCAGATCTCTGTATCAATATATATAGGACACGTTACATACAGACAGGTGTGTCAGGTCTCTGTATCAATATATATAGGACATGTTACATACAGACAGGTGTGTCAGGTCTCTGTATCAATATATATAGGACACGTTACATACAGACAGGTGTGTCAGATCTCTGTATCAATATATATAGGACACGTTACAAACAGACAGGTGTGTCAGGTCTCTGTATCAATATATATAGGACATGTTACATACAGACAGGTGTGTCAGGTCTCTGTATCAATATATAAAGGATATGTTACATACAGACATGTACGTGTTTAACGCGTTTATAGAAATATACATGTTGGATCTGTAACACAACGAAATCAACATGCTGATGTAATATTACCATTTGTCATGTGTTTTTCCTGACCACACGACAATCCTGGGTTAAGTTCAGAAATTAACATAGTCCTCGATCCCGACTGGGATTTGGTAAATCTAAATGAACTTTTAGTTTTTTTTTTGCTTTTCAGTTACTTTTATACTATCAAGTATACTTTCTTGTGTAAACATCAGGATTAAAATGGGAAACATTTTATGTTGATGATCAATTTTATCAGGTAAAACCAACTGTACTCACTGTTAGAAAGCCTGTTGTGGATGTATACCATTCCCCTCCTGTCCCTGAATCCTCCGTCTTAACCGATACAGCGGCTGTATTGTTGTAACACTGGCTCTACACAGGCCTGTGTGAGGAATGTGTATGAGCAGATCGCAGTGATAAATTAAATATACATCGACTGAATTCCACTGAATATTATCAGATTTTACAAAAACAGGTTTATATTGCTTATCATTTTTTCGTGAACTTTTGAAATACTAAATTATTGTTATTTGCTAGTTCTTATTTTACTGATGTAGATAAATCCCCAATTTGTGTGTAAACACTTCCCTAACAGCGCTGATGACTCCCAATCTTCGGTGATTACGAATCATTTACATATTTCATCGTAATTACGTTCCCAGCAATGTTTCCATAAACTACATAGTATATATAAATCTTATGACAATTACGTTAAATGCATGGAATCGGTATATTAACCTATAACAAACAAACGGAATTAGTATAGAATAAATATGTTATTAGTAATGTTACGTAATAGATAAGTACCGGTAGAGAGATAATGGGTAATAATTTGATATCACGTGAGAAATCAGTACTAGTAGAGAGATTATGTGTAATAATTTGATATCACGTGAGAAATCAGTACTAGTAGAGGGATTAGGTGTAATAAGTTTGTGTCACGTGAGAAATCGGTACTAGTAGAGAGGAAATGTTTGTGTCACGTGAGAAATCAGTACTAGTAGAGAGATTACGTGTAATAAGTTTGTGTCACATGAGAAATCAGTACTAGTAGAGAGATTACGTGTAATAAGTTTGTGTCACGTGAGAAATCAGTACTAGTAGAGAGATTAGGTGTAATAAGTTTGTATCACGTGAGAAATCGGTACTAGTAGAGAGATTATGTATAAGTGTGTGTCACGTGAGAAATCAGTACTAGTAGAGAGATTAGGTGTAATAAGTTTGTGTCACGTGAGAAATCGGTACTAGTAGAGAGATTATGTATAATAAGTTTGTGTCACGTGAGAAATCGGTACTAGTAGAGAGATTATGTATAATAAGTGTGTGTCACGTGAGAAATCGGTACTAGTAGAGAGATTATGTATAATAAGTGTGTGTCACGTGAGAAATCGGTACTAGTAGAGAGATTATGTATAATAAGTTTGTGTCACGTGAGAAATCAGTACTAGTAGAGAGATTAGGTGTAATAAGTTTGTGTCACGTGAGAAATCGGTACTAGTAGAGAGATTATGTATAATAAGTTTGTGTCACGTGAGAAATCGGTACTAGTAGAGAGATTATGTATAATAAGTGTGTGTCACGTGAGAAATCGGTACTAGTAGAGAGATTATGTATAATAAGTGTGTGTCACGTGAGAAATCGGTACTAGTAGAGAGATTATGTATAATAAGTTTGTGTCACGTGAGAAATCAGTACTAGTAGAGAGAGTAGGTGTAATAAGTTTGTGTCACGTGAGAAATCAGTACTAGTATAGTAAGTTATACATTGTAATACCCTTACCGATACTCAGACATGTTATGTAATGTAATACCCTTACCGATACACAGACAGGTTACATAATGTAATACCCTTACCGATACACAGACAGGTTACATAATGTAATACCCTTACCGATACACAGACAGGTTACATAATGTAATACCCTTACCGATACACAGACATGTTATATAATGTAATACCCGTACCGATACACAGACATGTTATATAATGTAATACCCGTACCGATACACAGACATGTTATATAATGTAATACCCTTACCTATACACAGACAGGTTACATAATGTAATACCCGTACCGATACACAGACATGTTATATAATGTAATACCCGTACCGATACAGACATGTTATATAATGTAATACCCGTACCGATACACAGACATGTTATATAATGTAATTCCCTTACCGATACACAGACATGTTATATAATGTAATACCCTTACCGATACACAGACATGTTATATAATGTAATACCCTAACCGATACACAGACATGTTATATAATGTAATACCCTAACCGATACACAGACATGTTATATAATGTAACACCCTTACCGATACACAGACATGTTATATAATGTAATACCCGTACCGATACACAGACATGTTATATAATGTAATACCCGTACCGATACACAGACATGTTATATAATGTAACACCCTTACCGATACACAGACATGTTATATAATGTAATACCCTTACCGATACACAGACTTGTTATATAATGTAATAACCTTACCAATACACAGACATGTTATATAATGTAATACCCTTACCGATACACAGACATGTAATACCCTAACCGATACACAGACATGTTATATAATGTAATACCCGTACCGATACACAGACATGTTATATAATGTAATACCCGTACCGATACACAGACATGTTATATAATGTAATACCCGTACCGATACACAGACATGTTATATAATGTAATACCCGTACCGATACAGACATGTTATATAATGTAATACCCGTACCGATACACAGACATGTTATATAATGTAATTCCCTTACCGATACACAGACATGTTATATAATGTAATACCCTTACCGATACACAGACATGTTATATAATGTAATACCCTAACCGATACACAGACATGTTATATAATGTAATACCCTAACCGATACACAGACATGTTATATAATGTAACACCCTTACCGATACACAGACATGTTATATAATGTAACACCCTTACCGATACACAGACATGTTATATAATGTAATACCCTAACCGATACACAGATATGTTATATAATGTAACACCCTTACCGATACACAGACATGTTATATAATGTAACACCCTTACCGATACACAGACATGTTATATAATGTAACACCCTTACCGATACACAGACAGGTTATATAATGTAACACCCTTACCGAAATATTGTAATTCATTTCTGGATACTCATCATTTTGTATATTTTAAAACGCTGATGTTCTTTTTTAATTTGATAACGATATCCAGGACAGGTGGCTGCAATCTTATCTTCTGATATTTTAACGCTATAACTGGTTTGTCGTTTATATCAATTATAATTCAATATCAAAGGTAGCCAGATTACTTTTCTGTGTGTTTTTATCATACAGTTTCACCCCCTCTTGTCATTAGATGTAGAACCCATGCTAAGAGTCGTCTCTTTGATACGGCCACAGATAAACCAGTATAAATCTTAATATTTATGATAGATATAACACAGACAGCGCACCTAAACACACGAGAGGAATTCACTGATCTGTGACACATTTATAATTTAATACTCGATATATATTTACAAGTCACTCATATCTTATTTCCATTTATCCTCTTCTTGTCGATATAAACATATGATTCGGGAAATTCTCTGCACACGACGCCATAATCGAATTTGTGATTGCAGTAACTGCTATGCATACATGATCACGTGGGTTTACGTCACGTGCAACAGATTCGCCGTCCAGGAATCTTGTCCTGTGTTGATATTCGTAATAAACAAAACAACAACCACAGATAGTGTAACGTTTAATGCCAAGAAAACAGACGTTAAAATTAGTCATGATGTACTATACAGTTTTATTAAGTTTAATTAATAATAATAATAATAATCAATTAAATAAATAATAGTGTTTGTCAATAACGGTGTAGTATCCTCTAACTACATATATCTATTTAAGACTTTTTCGTGTGTCGTGTAATTATATACATAAAAACCGATTCCAGATTAAATTGGATAGAGAGTAGGTAGACAGATTAACAATCTATCGTAATCACCACAAATAACATCCAATGTTCATATCATGTAGAATGCCATCCCCTTAATCACTATAGAGAATCCTATCTACAAGATCACGTGATGGTTTTCACGAATACCATATCAATATTTTTCAAAATTTACATGATTGTCTCCAACACATTTTAAGATAGTTTCGAAATGAAAACTCATCCAATTAATTGTGTGTTGAGAGGCAACAGTACAGAGTTTTCGACGTTAAATTCAATTGGAAATATTTGAACACAATAAAAAAAAAACTTTAGGGTGCTGATGCACTTTAGTATTCAGACGTAAACCAGACTTTGAAGAACGCCGACCGATATCAAAATTCTAGAAAATCTGGTCTATTCTAATAATCTTACTAAACAAAGAATTATTAAATTTTCCATCATTTTTTTTAACTTTTCCCTCAATTTATAGGTGTAGAATGGTATATGTACTTCTGTTGTGTTTCAAAGACGGAGAATCAATGATAGAATTTTGTATGTACTCCTGACGAGGTTGAAAGGCGGAGATTCAGTTTATGATATTTTGTATGTATTTCTGTTGTGTTTCAAAGACGGAGAATCGATGATGGAAGTTTGTATGTACTTCTGATGTGATTGATAGGTGGAGAATCAGTTTATGATATTTATATTTGTACTTCTGATGTGGTTGATAGATTAATATATTTCTTTTTGTGTCCTTTAGAAGGAAAATAGTAACAATTCAGACGCAGGCTGCTGGCATTCATAGTGTTCAATTTATCAAAATAACTAAATTCAGACAATTAGAAATAGGTACTTAAAATTTGGTTGTGTAGGACATCAAGACGTTTAATGTAATTCTGGTTTGTTATATAATTCGGCTGTGTATTTCCCCCGACTTCCTACCATCTGATCTACTATCACAATTAAACGCCTGGAATCGGATTTCTCTTTCGTATGTACAACACTAACAGCTTTGTACATAATACTGTTATATCATAAACGTAATATCAGTAGTAACATATTATAATTAAACATGGCATACGATAATTATGTAGTTTATATATATATATATATATATGTATATATATATCACACCGCTATGTTCGCTATATAATTATTTAATATTTTATTCCACACATCAAACATGTAATAGTATGCCCAAAACGTATTTTGCATTATTTACAAAACATTTTTTTATTCCAGGATATATACTAAACAAAACGAGAAGACACAATAATAACATATTTGTCCACTTTGTGTAACATATCTGTGCCGTAAAGATATATAAACCAAACATATTTTAATATACCAAAATCTGTTTGATTAGATAACAA